CTATCTATCTATCTATCTATCTATCTATCTATCTATCTATCTATCTAAATATATATAGATGATTACTGTTCTTGTCCTCAGAGAGCATTGAATCGATTTCTCTTTTACTTGTGTGTTGCTTCAGTTTATTGTTCCTTGAAAGATAAGAACTGAGGGAATATTGAGGGAAGTGCAGGAAATCTCTGAATGATCCCTCTCCCCTTTAGAAAATGAAACCCTTATGAAAGGTTCTCTCATCCTTGTCCAGCCATCAACTCCCCAGTGACTCCCCGGTTTGCTTCCATCAGGACATAGATTCATAAAGAAAAAACCCAAACCCTTTGTTTTTCAGACCAACAGTCTGAATGGCTGGTTCATCCATGCTGTCACAGGACTGGAATACTTTTTTTCAGTTCCATTTTTCATTATCTTGATTTTATTGTTTGTTTGTTTATTGATTGTTAGTGCTGAATGCTATTTTTTATTGTGTGGTGTTGCGTTGCCTGTTTGATCCACAAACATATGCCCTTTTTTAATTACGTTCTGTGGACAATTGGCAACAAAATCCTAGCAGTCCAAATGAGAATAACAGATAGGGTATAAAACATGAGTTTAATTATTTTTTGTTGAAACAGAGGGTGTACAAGAGGCAGTACATCTTTGTTAACGCATCAAGTTCATTATCACATTACTTTAATAATTAAGCTGCTGATCATCTTTGTCCAGACATGTCTTTGAAGAATGCCATTGTGTTGACGTTGTCCTGCATGTCCATGAATTATCGCAAAGGAAAGTCCTGTTCCCATTTTATCCATCCAAATGTGAACATTCATCTCTATCTTATTCAGAATTTGTTCAATTTATCTTTTCAAAGCATTGAATTTCTTTATCTTCTGTGTTTTATTTTTCCTTTTTATTTTAACCTGGATGTTATATGTCGTTTTTCCTCTCATATGTTTATTTCTATATTAGTGGTCTGAATGTGCTATGATACAAAGACGTGCTCGACCTATGTAGTTAATTATAATGGAAATAAAGGCTTTAGCACAGGCTCCATTGAGAAGACAGTTTTTAAGAGAGCTGCAAGTCTTCTTTTATACAACTTTAACCTTTAGTGACCGTCATTTAGCAGTTCCTGTAAATAGTCTCAAGCGTTATTTCACAGCCTGATTGGGATTCTCTTTTGTGTTGTTTTTTCTCTCTGTTGCTCTCTCAGGTATAGTGTCATTGGTGTCCTTGTCAGTTCTTTCCTACGAGCGCTACACCACCATACTGCATTCCTCCCAGGCGGACATTTCAGACTTCAGGAAAGCCTGGATGTGTGTTGGAGGCTCCTGGCTGTATTCGCTGCTTTGGACGTTGCCGCCCTTCCTGGGCTGGAGCAGCTATGGACCAGAGGGCGCCGGGACCACCTGTTCCGTCCAGTGGCACGTGCGCACGCCCACCAGCATTTCATACGTGCTGTGTCTCTTTATCTTCTGCCTGCTGCTGCCCCTTCTGCTCATGGTGTACTCGTATGGAAGGATCCTGGTTGCCATTAGGAAGGTAAGTTCATTCAATCATCAGCTATCTGATCTCACCAGAAAATTCTGGTAAACCATATTTAAGATTGACGTTACTTTGGCTAACATAACTGTCATCATGTGCTACATTTTGAATTATTTTTATGCATACCTTTTGGAAAAATGCAACACATTTGACAATATTTAGATGAAAAGACCTAAAAGAATGAGGGTTTTGAGGAATCTTTTTTCCTTACATTCTGTTAGCCTCCAAAAATGTTTCATTTGATTGAATCCATGTCTCCTTTCCTTTTCTGTTTTCATTGATTTAAATTGTGCCTATGTGAAACACAGGCTTCATGTCTGATGAGCTTCTATCAGTCTGGTGAGTCGGTGTACACCTCATTTCTCCACATCAATTTTCCCACTGCAGGTCAGCTTTTGCTCAAATTTAAATCTCTTTAAATCCGGCGGTGAAGAAGCGAGCAGGAAAAGAGAGTCGACTGTGCGCATATATGACTGAAAACTGCTTGAACTGAATCTTGTAAGTCCCCTTGAAGGCCTATGCCGAGAAATTGGGATTTGGAGGGACTTACCAGAAAAGGTTATTATCAGAGCTCATTGAAAGTTTTCTTGGTTTTCCACACCTCAAATTGACCTGTACTGTTCCCGTTAACTGTTATTTCTTAATTACATCTCAGACGGGGACCTCTGAAAAGATACAATCTTCTCATAACTTTCTCCAGTCTTGTGGGCATTCATTATTTCAGTTTTCACAGCATTGAGGTGACCGAGACAAGATTTGTAGGAGTGGAAGGATTAGCTATGCCTTCAACAGTGCATCACCTGTTCTTTTCACACTATTGTGATAAAATCGTAGACCTAAAAGGCTTGTTAAGGCATAATACCTTGATTTCACAGGTTTAGTGTAGACCTGTAGAGTGCTGAAACATTTGTTTGATACTGATTTCACTCTGACACTGGAAAAAGAATCACCTTGATCAAGTTACTTATTGAGAAAATAATCTTACATTTTCAACTTTATGTCTTTCATCGACCACTTGTTTGACTATTTGCAGCAACAGCAGTATACGATTAACTTAAATGATTTACTATTTTGGATCAATAAATCAATAGTTTGCTTGTTGCACTGTCTTGAATTTCTGAATTGTTGGAACAGACAGAGGTTTAGCTTTGTTTCTGCATTTTAAACAAAGCGTTTTCATCAGAGCGCACGTGTTCAAACGTTCATTTTAAAATTCTTGTGGCACAGATGCAATTTTCTCGGGATAATTGGCTCCGAGTGCTTTGTCCCGAAATCCCTGATAGCTCTTCTGAAGTGGTCTCGATTGCACGCACGCCTTGGCTATCCATTAGCTCACGAGATACAAGATTGTCTCTGATTGAGTCGTGGTTGCTAGACTTTAACAGTTGGCTTTGAGTCCACTGGGTCCAGCAGGAAAAGACGACTATTTTTAAGTTATATTTGGATGAGCTACTGACCATTTCAGTGACCCCTCTCATTTTTCAGTGACTCATACTTGTCTTTATAGAGCTTATATAAACCTGCTAGTCATACATATAATTGGTTATTAAGGTCTTCCAGTTGGTGCCAGGTTCCTCCACGGTCTTTGATTCTACTACTTCCATGAATGAATCACCCAGAAGGTATTTTTAGACCACAGTAGCAACCTGTTACCATTGGATACCCAGTGTTACATAAGTGTCTTTTTTTTCTTCTCTCTTCTCTTTCTTTTCAACTTTGTGCACCCTAAGGAGTTGGAGCAGGAAAGGGCTTTGCAGACCTGATTTGGTCTATTGGCGAATTGGGGCTCAGCTGTGCACAAAGCAAGAGTCTCCACATAGGCTTTTCTTAGAAACAATCTATATGACGAATCTCCTGCTGGTGCTTCAAATGTGACTTAAACCGACTCATCAGAGGCAGATGTGACATTTGTATGAGGAGCACCAGAGTGGACCAAGCGGGAAATTCTTTTTCTTTTCCAGATGACAGATTTATAAATGCACTGACATATCAAAAAGCTTTTTTTTTTTCAAACGCTGACACCTTTGATAGCTGTGTAATAACAAGCACGGTTTTATAAACCATTATCAGAGTCTTTTTTTTTTTTATAAATTCAAGTCTAAATAACAAAGAGAGTCCTTAATCTAATGATTTTGTATACGAGAAAATCGATTCTGCGAATAAAATGCAGGAGAATGGAACTTACCTGAAATGACTGCTTAAAGATTGGTTTATGAGCGGTGAGCAAACAGCAATTTGAAAAACAGGCTAGCGGGTTCACTTGTGAGGGGACTTTTTCCACATAGCAGAGATGTTGATTTATTCATAGAGCACCATAATGAGCATCTAGGCAGTAATTAAGCAGGGGACCAAAATCAATAATGAGAAGGTGAATGTAAGTACAGATGAGGCACCGTATATATGTTAATTTATGTAGTTTTAAAAAGCTGCATAAAAAGGGGAATGTTTGCCATCTGGTTATATTTCTAAGATTAAGAAGTATACAACGAGAAAAGCAACCCAACACCAAAGTGGGCAATTTACAACGTATCTTATCATTGAGGTTTGACTCAGTGATAAATAAATCAATAATCAGTATGAGAGAATAACAATAAATCAGTGTAAAACATGTCACCTGTCATACATCATAGCATAAGCCAATTAACATCAATAACAGGATGGAAAAGTAATGAATACTTTATGTGTTCATTATGTGAAAGATCATCTTCCATCAGACAGCCTTCCATAAGCCTTCAGAAAATGCCATTTAGGGAACCTTTAGATAGCCTTCCCTCAAGGTTTCCTGACCCAAATGTTTGCAATATAAAATACAGCTTGAACACTTTAACTTTATGTACACATTTCTGTTCTCTGAAATCAAGCTACTGAAGTTCACTTTATTAAACACCAGGTGTCTCTGTTGGGAAATTCTAAAAAATGCTACTGTTGAGGCAGTAAGAAAAACTTTATTTAATTGCTAAGCCTCAAAACATATTTACTGAATTAGATTGAAAATACAGACTGTCTCATGCATTCCTATTGGAGGGGACATTGTACTGAGACCTTCAACTTTATAGGAAGCAGTATCCCTGAAACAATGAACTTGCTTCTTATTTTATTGAAGGTCTGATTTTTAACTAAAAGAATTACAAAATGAATTAGAAAGTAAATCCGACTTTGTTGTTTTCAGCCTGCTCATTATTTTGTGCTGGATTCACATGTAGTGATGAAGATGAACCATGTGACCGATCTTCACACTCCCAATGCCACCCAAGAATAAAGTATCTAAATATAATTCAGATGTATTTGAATGGATGGATGCAACATTAACAAAAACCTCTGAACTGCAGCATTTAAAAAACATCTAACCTTTGACCCTTTTGATTACATCCCGTTTTCTTTCTCCCCAGGTGGGGAAGATCAACCTTCTGGCAGCCCAGCGCAGAGAGCAGCACATTTTGCTGATGGTGTTGTCCATGGTGTCCTGCTACATGCTGTGCTGGATGCCCTACGGCATCATGGCCCTGACCGCCACCTTCGGTAGGTCAGGGCTGGTCACCCCCATGGCCAGTGTGGTGCCCTCCGTCCTGGCCAAGTTCAGCACCGTCGTCAACCCAGTTATCTACATGTTCTTCAACACCCAGGTGAGAGCGCAGGGCAGAATGCCTTCTGTGTTCGTTCTAGTGCTGTAAAAGTCCTCTGGATTCTCCTTTTAATTGGTCTGTTTCAGCTTTGGTTTAATCGAAGTTACAAGTACTCTCTCAAAATAGTCGATATTGTAAATAATCAATAATTCAGCAGTATTTCACCAAACAGAGATCAATGCATGAAATCATCCCATTCAAACTTTGTTACAAGAAGATTTCAGGCATGTACTATGCTATGATATTTCCTCTGCATGCATTTTTGTGTGTATTTAAAGCAGATAAATTGATGTAATGCTTAATTTCATGTTGTAATTTGCTCCCCATGACAATAATGTTGTTTTTGTCATGGCCAACTCCATTATGTATGTAAAAAGCTCTTTGGGGATGTATTCCTGCCTCACAAAGCAGTGTAAAGATCTACATTAACATTTAAGCATTTAACAGACACTTTTTTATCCAAAGATCAATGCAAACCATCCTTTATTTTATGCTTTTGCAGTTTTATAAATGCTTTTTGGCCTTCATCAAGTGCAGCAAGGAACCCCAGTCGGTTCAAACTCCGAAAGCACAGCTATCGGATATCTTTGGGGTCCAAAGACAGGTCGCCCTCAGCTGTGCACAGCCTCAGGTCTTCAGCAGCTCCAGAAACACCGCCCTCAGCGGCCAGCACAGTGACCGGCACACTCTGTTCGTTCACTTTACTCCCTGAAGCCTTTGTTTCTTTTCATCTGGCTGACTATGGGAGCCATTTTTCCTATGGTACTGATTCCAAAGTGCAGCTAAAACACTCTCATTTGCCTTTTCCCCCCAATCAACCTTTATTGATTTCAAAGAATGTAAAGTTTTAAGGTGTGATTATGAAGCTAATGATGGAGTCTAGTCATGAGAGTGACATTCGTCATCGTTGACTTTCGCGCTTCAATGTCTGTGATTTTTTGTAGAAACACACGCACAGACACTGTATCACAACATTGAGATGAAGCTGTGTTGTTGGGTCTCATTTAGCAGAAATGAGACTTTCTTGTTACTTCTCAACAAATATTGAATGTGAAAACTATTCAAGTTTTCTTATAAAGCTTTCAAGACTTTCAAGAACCCATGTGTGCAAATGGGACATCATACATTTTGTATATCTGGAAACACAATATATATGTATTTTACAGGCACGCAGTATGTAATATTTGTTCATATGCATACGAAAATAGATAAAAATAACGTGTATGTTTTCTGTGATTTACATTAAATCAGTGGAATCCCACCTTTCTCCATGTCATGTATCTTTCTCCAACATGTCTGGATCCTAAGTGTCAACTGGGGTGAATTATATGCTGCAAAAATAGGATAGATCCTGGTTCAAACTGTCTCTCCTGTTGTGGCAGTGTTTCTGTAACTAATTCAGAGTACAGGAGGCTCAGATTTTTTTTATTATATTCACTTAACGTTCCTAAATGAAACCCTTTGGTAATCAAAAATGAAACCTTTACTCTGTTTTATTCACTATTAAACAGATATATTTTGACAGGTACATTAAAAATAAAAACGCCAGATGTGTTACAAGCATTAACAAAAACTACACTCAAAAGAGCCAGCATGCAACTCCGGGTCTATTAACAAATTGTTCCGGGGACTTGTGTAAAGGCTACTCAAACTGTAAAATGATATAGTCTAAGGTAAACTTTACACCATCATATGATGCATGTTGTAACATGCTAGACTGTAACTGTGTGAGCGACTGCTCAACTTTCACTTTTGCCGTGCTGAAAACTGACGATTCATTGAAAAAGAAAAAAAAAACACACATATTGGTTGCAGATGAATGAATGGTGGTGGCCTGCAGCAGTAACTCTGCACGTGGGGTCTTTCTTTGTAACTTCTTGAAATTTCCTACCAGATTTTTTTTCTTTGAAAACAGGGATTTTGAGTTTAAAAAAACAAAACATCAACATTTTTTTTTAAAAACACTGAAAATCTTTAAAAACCCAACAGCTGTAATTGGTAAATGGGGATATCTTGTACACAACAATGTGTGGCACATGTGTTACACTTTGGCTACCAGTTCAGTTTATACATTCTGAAACATTGTTTTCTTTATTTAAAATGGATTTATTGCCACACAAGAACAGATAATTATGTTTTTTGTATTGCCTACTCTTTTGTTTTAATTTAACAAAAAAAGGAAAAAGGAAATAACTGATTATATCAAATGAAAAGAAAAATGATTCCTTGGGTAATTTTTCATCCTCTCTATTTTAAAGGAACATATTTTGAACAACATTTTAAGTAGATTACTTCTCTGTCAGCTCTGTGCCTGGCAATTTACTTTGAATGTAAAACAAACTAAACTTATAAATAGAAGATGATTTTAAAGATGAGGTCACGTCACAAGTTGTGTCAAAGCATAATTACCTAAAAGTAACACACACACACACACACAGAAAAAGAAAGGTATTTATACCACACAGACATCTTCTGAGCAAATGGTACACTTTTCAAAGATCTAAGAGCACAGAGCTTCCAGGAAGTAGAAACAGACCAACCCAGTTACTTGAGAGAGCATTTGCTCAAAAGCGCATGGGATGCCACGGACGTCTGGCCTCTCTCGGGTTCACTGCTCCTCTCCACCATGATCAACACAGGCCAGACCAGCGTGGCGCCGCCGCCGCTGCCTCCTCGCCTCGGCAAATCCCAACCCATCCTCATCCCGGCTCCACATTCCCCTCCGGGCCAACAGAGCAAGCCTCTCGTCCAATTTCTGATCGCATTCGTCATGGTGCACTTGCTGCTGTCTGTTGGAGGATTCTTTTATCTCTACTACAATAACAAATCCACTTCACCTGTAAGTAGTTTAATGATCATAATCATTATTTTTTTTATTACCTGCACAACAGATTCGGGTTGCGTTTTGTGAAAAAAAAGTGATGCTATGAAATGACAGTAACTTCATTTTTTTCACATCACATTTTAATCGTAGAGATTTTTTTTTTTTTAATTCTATGGGCGGATATCAGATTTATTTTACAACTCCATGCAGTGAAGTTCAGTGAATTTTTAAAGGGTCTACTTACATTGTAGTGCAGCGACATACCTATTTATAACCTTGGTTCTGTGTACAATTCAAACTTGTGGAGCACAGGAAATGCTCAGACACGGTGTGATTATCACATTTCAGCATCTTGCAGCAAGATGCTTGTGTGAGAAAACACATTTAACCTTAAATAGAATTGACACAAAAAAGCAAAGTTGGAAGAAAGATTTGAAAAATCTGTATATTGTTTAGCTGATTTCGTGCTTTTTTTTCTCCACAGTTACAAGAAAACAAACCATCAGCTGAAGCGAGAGGTACATACGTTTTTCTGGGAAAAGTTTCATATGAATTTCTTTAGAGGAAAGGCAGCCGCATCAATGTTTCTGACTCATGTTGTCTTTTACAGTTGGTTTTCCTCCGCCAAAAGGAAAAGCAGCCTCGTCGACCCTGGCCCACATGGTAGTTGCGGAGAGGAGCTCGAAAACAGGGGAAACGCAGCCATGTATGAAACCAAGAATATCATTTAGATTTAACTTTAAAACAGATTCCTTTTTTTTAGATGGCAGAATTGACAACGAATCCAATCCTTTTCTCCAAAAAAAACTGACTTAAACCTTTCCCTCTGTTTCTCTAGCGGGTTTTCTCCAGTGGGACATGAACCACTCAGTTCGAAAGAACGTCAACTACTTCCACAACAGCTGGCTGACTATTCTTGAGCCCGGTGATTATTACGTCTACTCCAGGGTTACCTTCTCCAAAGGTAACCGGAAGATCCCTCTGGCCAGCATGGTGAGGCTGAGGAAGACAGAGACTGGAGACGGGAAGGACGTAATGATGGCCTACTGCAGCCTGAGCAGCAACTACATCCCTGATTCAACCGCAAACATGTGCACAGCCACTCAAATGGGCCTCATCAAACTGGAAAAGGGAGACCAACTGAGTGTTTGGGTACCAGACCTCTCACTTGTGGACTATGAAGGAGATGCGACAGCCTTTGGGATGTATAAAATCTAAGACTCCCGTGCGCGTTCATGCATGAACTTTAGCGAGGGAGATCCTAGATGCACATGGACATGGATTTATGTCTACTGAGAACACTCTTAATTGGACTGAAATAAGACAAAAACCACACCCCAAACTATAACTTATTAAATGATGTAACTTTTTTTGTTCCATATTTATTGTTGTAAACTGGTTTGTATGACTGAATTTAATTTGCATATTTAATCTAAAGTGTTTAAAACCTGCATCGTCCTTGCACAATAATTTTTTTGGGCCTAGCAGCAAGATACGTGACATTTCTTGTTTGCTTGAACAAGCAAAACCTGTGGCCACTTGCATTTGAGCTCAGCCTTTGCCACAGCGGTTTGAAATTTCTAGGACACAAAACCACATAGAAAAAATGATTGGTCTTATCGTACCAACCGATAAAAATGTAGGTTATTGCATCAGAAGATGATCAAGTTCAGCATAATTTTCCATTTAACTTTCATTTCCAGGAAAACCAAAAAAAAGATAAAAGAACAAAAAGTACGTTTTTGGTTAATTTAAGGTCCTCATAAATGAGGTTAACCTCCATAAACAGTTGTGTATTTTTTCCACCTTTTTCCAATTTCCAAAAGTAATCATTTCCGCCAAGCACTGAAGATACACAAGGAATTACCCTAAATGCCAGACTTACTGTTAAAATGCACAGTAAAAGGGCATTGACTCAAGCTCTACTAATCTAAAACTCCATCACCCTCCAACCCACATGCCCAAGTTCAGGTTTGCGTCTCAGACACGCTTCACGTGTACGAGAGCATGGAAAGTGTGAGTCTAAAGGGGTGTGTGGATGCACAAACAGAGCGGTCTTACAGGATGTCATCTATTCTAGTCACTCCTTCCATCCTGTTACTTGGGTTTCATGATAGAAAATTAAACAACCTACAAATTCCTGTGTTTCAGCTCTACAGAACACAGCGTGGAAACGCCTGCTGTTGTGGATTTCCAGTGTGGCTGAGGGACGGTGGAGTTTTCCACTTCTCACATGGTTTGACTGATGTCAAAACACAGCTCATTATATTAAACTTTTAATAAAAGAACAATCATACCAAACATAAAGTACAGGTGTCTAGTTTAAAAAAAAGAAAGAAAGAGAAAAGCATTACAATACTTGCGACAACAATAATTGCATAGAATAGAATGATCTTTCAAAAACAGAAAACACACAGTGGTCTGGAGATATCGTTTTAGATTAACTTTAACCTCTTCCCACCTTTAAGTGCTCATGGAGGCGATGGAGGAGTAGAAATTACAGTGGGTGGCGAGGTGAAAGCAGTTTTTTGCAGAACAACAGCAAAACAGCCACAAGGCAACAGACGCCTGGTGAGACATGCAGCTGCACAGGAAGCCGTGGACGAGTCTACCTGCTGACCAGGTGTCCCGGTTGAAGATCAGCCCGAGCGGCGCGGTCAGCATTAATCTTACGGAGGTGCCGTTTGAGCGGGACCGAGCCGTTTCTGCTGATGAATCAAGGCTAGACAGTTCCTGCTCAGAGCTGCATGCAAAAACAGCAAAGCCCACTAAGGGGACTGTCCTACTATATGCTACAATTTGTATTGTTTGTCATCAACACAACAATGACAGCAATAACGATGGGATGTCAAAGTTTTGTCTTTTTTTTAAACAATGATTATCAACACCAAAATACCTCAGTGAATAAATACTATTGATAAGCCAAACTATGTGGAGGCAAATCCCCTTCCTCCCTCAAAACAAAAGAGAGAAGAAACACATATGGCCTTCTTTTGAGTTATTAACTGAGTTCAGTCACATCTTATTGCAAGTTTACCAAAACTAATCAACTATTGCTGGCGTTAAAGTAAAGCAGTCACTTATTGCATTTCAAATACATTCACTGCTTCTCAGATAACAGTGTTGTCAAACGTACCTCTGTGGGTCTTCATAAGGAAGCCACAGCTTAACTAGCTCACCATAAATATATATATATATATATATATATATATATATATATATATATGTATATATATATGGTGAGCTTCATTTCCAAATAATTATAACAAACCACCTCCAACACTTTTAATTTAATTTACATAAAGCCCAAATCGGTTTCGGTTTATTCACCACTTTGGGAGGCACTTTACCATTACAGCAAAACTTTAAACCTAGATGTCAATAACTCCATGTTTATTTAATCAGTTTTTCCCCTGTCAGTTCTGCAGAAACCGACCAGTACAAAAAAGAATAAAAACATAAAAAAACAACCTCTGTACTCTCACTGGAAACTCATTACTCAAATCACGTGTCTTCTGTTGATGTCAAAAAAAAAGAAAAGATATGCTCACCTTGACCGAAATAAGGGTTTTTCTTTTTGCTTTTGCATATTTGTATATTGCTATTAAAACTCCAGATAAATTGTAGGCAGCAGAACTATATCTATAAAGCTAACACCACATTAAATGCTTGGGTTAACAATAAATAAAGATTACAGTTTAATGTCCAAAATAAAGCAAGGCTATATATTCAGTGTGTTAAAATTATTTTGAATATATTTCAGTAACAAAAGTAAGGGTTACCTCATTGTTTACATACACGGTACAATATGTCTTTCCTATTTTAGTATGCTAAGGCATCCCTGATATCTTTGTAGTCTATATCTGAATATATTGAGCATCACTTTCAGATGCAGAACCCATTCTGTAGAAACTGTACATTCATGCATTTAGACAGCTGGATTTGGAGACCGGTTTTAATATTTTGAGCTCAGCTGCTTGAGCTGCTCAAAAATGTCTTAACAGCCTGGACATGTGTGATGCGAGTGTCTAAAAAAAAAGGCAAATCTTAACAGCACAATGGGTGTTTTTCCCCAGCAGAATATGCCAATGAAAAATAAAATAAAGACATGATCTGAGAAAAAAAGAATACCCCTTTGTAAAGGAAGTGCATGCAAAAGAACGCGTTAGACTTAATGGCTTTGTAATCCTTTTCTATTACTCACGGAAGCAGAAAAAAATATGTAGCGAGCTTTCTTTGTCCTTGTCCAGAATTGTTCGGTTTGTTAGGCTGAGTTCGCAGAGCCGACCACTGAGGGGGGGGGGCATGTCTGCAACACATGGGCTGAGCCGGGCTGTCTCGGTTGGAAGCATGTGTTTAGTCTCATCCAGCCAGGCTGGATCAGGAAGACAGTTCAGGCTTCACCGCGATTTCAGATCGAGCATCATGACCAGAGGAGACTGAAATGCGAGGACGTCACATAGATATACAAACGCACACAAAAACCCGTCCCTCAGGCACTGGAGTGAAGCCGCGGAAGGGTGGGGAGGACTGATCGGGTGAGTTCAGTGGCTGCTGTCCTCCCAAGCACAGTCGTTCTTCTGCTTGGTCAGTTTCCGGACTAGCCTCTCAAGTTCTTTGCGAGACTTCTGCTCCTCCTCCATAAACTGCTTCATCCACCTATTCTCCTGCAGATTACAATGATGAAAATGTTGAGTGAGGGGAGCTGTAGAAGCCAGTCCCTGAAAACAAACTGTTAAGAACCATCACACACTCTCATGTGTGTCCTAACGACAACAAGACTTCATTTGCGAAGCAGCTTTGCAGGAACATAGTCAAGAAAACTGATGCAAAGAAGTCAGTGGAAGGAAAAGCTGAAGGGAAACCACTATTTGAAGACACTGAACTTTCATCCATTAAACCGTTTCCTTGTAGGTATAAATGATGAATGCACCTTGTTAACTGAAACCTGCTTAATATATATATATAAACCTGCTTGAAATATATATTCTGGACGGTGTTTTCTGACTGCTTTCAAAATGATCGAGATTATTTAAATTATTTTGTCTTTTTGCATGAGATCCAAACGTTTTTCAAGTGCACTAAAAGGAAAAGGATTGCACAGCTTTTTCCTATTCTGGCTAAATGTGGCACGTTAAACACTTTGAATTAAATCATAACTTCATTCACACTTTGTCACATGTAGTTTAAATACTTACCTGATAAAATGCTAAAATAAATTATTTCACTGTTAACGCCCGTTCTCCCAAAGTTATCACTGAACATGCTTACCTTTTTCAATTCATGAACCTCGTCCTTTAAAGCGTACACAGCATCTACCAGGCTCCTGCAGGGGAAAACAACAGCATGTGTTGCATGACAGGCGCATACTCTTCAAAATACAGCAAGTAGACAAATACATCTATAGTTCACTCTTACATGAAGGTTTGATTGGCTGTGAGGCCACAAAGCGATTATGTGTCTCAACAGTTAAATAACAATCAATTCCAAATTCTCAGAGATTATAATCATAATCAATCAATTTGGAAAAAGCAATCAGGATCCTGAGAAATGTAATTAAGTCCTTAATGGAAGAATAAAATCAAAGCCTATCGTTGCACATCGATAGCATCCCTACTTTTCCTCAATAACCGTCTGCCCGTTGCTCTTCATCTCCTCCACAATGATCTTCTCCTCTTCCGGCAGGAGCACCTGAGGCACACACTCTTTCCGCACTGCTGCACAGACAAATCATTGAGAACGTAAATTGGCGCGGGGTCTTCAAATGCATGTAAGAAACACTTGGACGCGCATGCACGAACACGCACCCGTGGCGCTCTGGTGCAGGCTGGCTCCGGTGCAATAAGCCTCGATTACCCGAAGAATCTGAGCGTCCTCCTCCAGAGCGACCGTGCCTGCCAAAGCCAGAGTTTCATTAAGTCCTGGGTGTGTTTCATGTTGCTGATAGTAGAGGACATTCAATATTTGGTCACAATGATCAGTCAAATCATCCAGATATCTTTCCCGTTTGCCTATCTTTCCTTCTTTTAACGAAAGCATAATCTTAGATTGACCAAATTTAGTCATAACTCATTAATTGTAATATTTTAAACAATACCAACAAAACAAGTTACTTTTTTATTCAAATAACATACTTACTACAAATAGTTACAACAGTAAAACCCTTACTTTTCCTCGTCTGAACTTCATCATCAGAGGGCTTGCGCTCCTTCTTCCTGTTGCCTGGCAGGAACTTCTTCATAGGCCGTGGGCTCTTACTGGAGTCCTGGGGGAGCACAACGATATATTCAGAGCATCCTCGTAAACACAAACGTTCACTGCTACACACACCTGAGAGCTTAGGCCAACTCCAAACACAATGCAAGCTTGCGGGGATGTGTGTCCCGTATGTACACAGATGAGAAAACAAAACAACCATCAACAAACAGGGCAGCAAGCAGGGATGACTGAGACCAACCCGTCCAGGCAATTCTCTGTGTCAAAACGAGCCCGCGTGACGCAATAACAAATGCCCAGAATCGTCAGAATTGTCAGACTTAATCTTTGCCACTGACTACACGTTAAGTTGGAGTAAAAAATAGCAAAGCTTTATTTGCAGAGTGCAAAGTTTTACAAAAAGCTGGAAAAAGACTGAAGGTCCCATCGAATAAGTTCACACTTCATCAAACCACAACATTTACTGTGTGTTGAATCAGCATCTTTCTCCTCCTTTCTGCTGAGTTGCATTTAGTATGAAAACAGGAAAAAATTAGGATTTCCTCTGTGGAACACCTTCGAGGTGTGATGAATGATTACCATTCAATGGAAAAAAAAAATCCAGACATGTTTCGGTGACTAGCTTTGGATGGACAATCCACATTTTGTGGATTTTTAGTGTCATGGTAATTTGCATGAAGTCATTGTTCCCCTCATGCTGCTGGCTGAGATCAAAACACAAATCCAAACATTAGATAAGATGTAAAAAATGACCATCATTTCTCAGAATTCCCCAAAATACAGGGGGCGAAGACTCAAAGACAGTAATGGCATTTCATCAGGCCGTCTCATGTCACGCCGTCTTCAATAACTTTGGTACACTGGCTTTTTGTTTCGGAGCTTTTTTACACGCTTAAATACAAGAAACAAACAAAAAAAAACAAAGCCCAACATGTTTAACAACCCAGCAGACAGAGGGAGCATTTAAAGTTAATTTAGAGTGTAGTGTTCCAAGCCACCAGAGGAATGATCAGTCATAATGAACCATTATGACTTTTACTTAAACGCCACTACGGATGGAAAGCAGTTCCTCCCAGGTTTGTTCTATGATGTAAGCTTAAGTGTACGCAAATTATTCACATGGCAACAAATCCCCTTGCCCAGGATGATCTTTGAGAGCACATTTTGACTTCCACAGTTGCATGAGAAAGGGATTTGAAAACATAAGTGATACCATACCACACATAGATGGTGGCTGACACCTTACAGGGAACGAGAGTTTAGAAAAAAAGCAGACTCGCAAGGCCACAGAAAACAGGAAACCGACAAGATGACAACGAGAGAGAAGTGAAGCAAACAGAGCAATCACATGTCAGCACAACACACACACAGGCAACCCCATCCCACCTCCCCAGCCCACGCTTTTACCCACACACACAGGGGGAGAAACACAGTTGGTTCTAACCTTACCTTCATGATATAAGACATCCTCTATAGAGAGCAGAACGGAAAGAGAGAAAAAAGGGGAAAAACTATGAAACACTACAATGAGAAAAAGGCTGTGAGAGAGTTACTGGTGAACATTTTTACCACCCCCTGTAATCTACCTGATCTTAGTCAATGGGCAAAGACTATCATACGATTAACATAAAAGGAACTTCCCTATAAAAGGAACAGAAGAAGCATTACAATGACAAATGCAAGTACCGAAAAAGGGTTAGTATTCTACAGGTCTAAAATATGTAGTCTATCAGTCAATTCAAAATTTGAAAACAATCCTTCCACATAACAAGTGTTGCTTAATTCAATCAACAAAGGAATCAGAGGGAAAAAGCCCCATGAGGTTTATCTGACTATATGATGAAATGTTTAAATAAATCTGGCAATCTTAACTACTGCAAATAGCCCAAACCTGAGCTAAAAAAAACACAATTTCAGTCTGTTTTAAAGATCTCATATATTGTGAGTATAGATTTATCTATTCTGTGTAAAGGTTGTTAGCAAGAACTGCAGTACACGTCTGATTCATTTTCAATATCTTCCCTGGTGGTAGATATGAGCAACACCTGAAAGTGTTTAAAGTGCTGACTGCAGCAATCCTTTACCCACACAGACCGCAGAGAGAGCACTGTCTCTCATAAAAGGAAACAGGCTCATACTAGCCAGTTGATTTATAAGAGTGGGGTAACACCCCATTTCAGGAAAACTTGAGTTGTTTCAAAACCGTTCCATTTACTTCACCAAAGCCTCTCTGTCCTATGACCGTTTCATATAAGCTTTAATTATGATCAATGCTACGTCAAGTACTCAATGTAAACTTTTTGATCATTTTGAATCTAATTGCTTTTTCCCATAATGCCAGGGTGGATAAAGTTATTGATAAAGTTATGTTCCATAAGGCATAACTGTATCATGATTAAGGCAAAGCAACTGTAAAAGAGAGTTAAGTCGCAGCAGATTAGGTCCATGTCGTCAATTTCAAAGTCCAAGCCTAAAGTCTGCTAAAAAAAATTTTAAAAGCCTTTTGAAATGAATAAAAGTGTGTGTAATCTCTTTAATGTTTGAACACCGACCTGGACATCTGAACGAATATGAGACTGATGTGGACAATGTAGGGGAGGGGGACTTCTTAGACTTCCTGACAATCATGCCATGGTATGACTGATTACGGGAGATCAGTGTGGGTTTGATTTTGCAGCTCTCCAACTTCCTACCTCTTTGTAGCCCAGTGCCGCAGAGGGTTTGAGAGGTGGTGCAGGGCGCAAACAGCTGAGAGACCAGGGCTTGCTCGTCTTTGGTGGTTCCAGGGGACCACGAGCGGCAGTGCCCAGACCACCGGGGTGAGGCACGTGCGTGGGGGTACTCAGCATGCTCGCGTGCCTCCCGTCTACATTCTGCACAAGACAGTCACAGCCAACAAGTGTCTGAGAATTGTTGCAGGACAGACACATTCATCTAGTGTTTGTCAACTCCGAGCGTGAATGCAGATTTTCACACTTCATCATACAGCGTTCACTTTTGGTATCGTTTTCACTGCATGCCGGACATGTTTGTTTGTTTGAGTGGGTGTCCAAACCTTTGAAATGGTGCCTGCAGGGCTGCCTCCTTTGGTAAAAGGCTGCAGGTGCTCCAGCCAGTCCTGTAACTCTTGGAAGCTACTGCAGAACACAGTAATGCGGTCGATCATGCTTCCTGCAGCAAACACAAACACGGCAACTCAAAATACATCCAATGAAGGTGGCGGATAAGATCAACAAAATACGATGCAAAAATTAAACAATCAATATGAAACTTTAAGACTATTGTGTACATTAAAATCCATTCATTTGTGGTAGAAACTGATTAAACAGTTAAGCGATTATTTTTTCCTCTCACCTACGACAAAATTGTTGACATGTATTCTTTGAATTCCAAATGTGGATGTTAAAGAACACAGAGTTTAGAGGTTCAACTTTCAAATGCCAACCATTTGCCTTAGCTAAGTTAATGAGTGTATCAAACAGGTTTCAAGTAAAAGAGAAGCAATCACTATGCCTTCAGCAGCTTTGTATAGACGCCAGCCACAACACGGTACGTTGGTGACAGTACTGAATCTAAGATTTGAATGGCACTTTGACTCTTCAAACAGAGAGTGCTTTGATAAAAATAGCTACAAAGATCATTACATGAGATCATTATTTGTTCAACACCCTCCAATCTCAAAAAGATTAACCATATCACCAGTAATTCAGATACTAACCTGTGATGTCAAAGGCAAAGTGGGCGCTGTCTGCATCTTCTGCATGCCTCGTTACTGTGGTGCCTGTTAGTGGGAGCCTTCCCTGAAGCAGACAGAAAACTGCATGTTGGACAATATAAAAAAAGATAGGAGCGCTCCCCTCAATATTTCAAAGCAAATAAAAGAACATTTTCCTGAAATGACAAACTTGGGCATAGTTGTGAGAATAATAATTGTATAAAGGACACATGTATTGGGTACATTCAGTTCTGTGATCTGATGTATGTCAACTGAAACAGAATAATATCACTCACTCTGGTGAGTTTTTGCAGAAAAGTCTATTAAATCTTGTATTTTACAAGTTTGCCACATAATAAAAATCACCTGATTAAAAAGGATGATGAAACTGGTGTTTATAAGGTGCAAGAAATACACTAAGATTAGAGAAATTCAGTCTTCTGGTGTAAAAGATTGCTCTAAATATGAGTATAATGGCAGTCTGAGCATGGGGCTCTCTTATAAATTGAGTGTTTTCATTGGGAGATAATGGGGTTTTGGGAAGGTGTTAAAGAATGCATTTTCTGTCACACAGACAGAGTACTTCTGAAGTTATCTGTTGTTTTCTCTGCTATGTGCTGCATTAGAATCACTCTTTAACATATTAGTTTAGACTTTCTGCAAATTCTTAATGTTTTTTTCATGGATAATAAATATCTCTCAAAGAAGAGCATCATTATCCATGTTAAAACAGGACTAACAGACCTTGAATTTATATACATTGAACGGCACCTCACCTGATAAATAAAGCCACTCATCCGTGGACTGGCAGAGAGCATAATTAACATATTAGGGAAAAGCATTAGGTATCGTTCTTCTTTTTCCTGCAAGATATAAAAGATTTAATCAGTTTTAATGCATGATTGTAGGTGGGCCTAAGGTTATTTTAAGAAAAGAAATGCTTTCGCCCCCTTCTCAGGCATGGGAGGGAGGCTATAAATGAGCTGGGTTGATGTACTTGTTGGAAACCACACATAAGGTTTAACTCACTACAAGACCCATCACTGGCCAATCTTAGTAGTGAATAGGCTGATAGTATCTTGCAGAACAGTTAGTCTCAAATACATAGAAAATAAACTATGCCTGTAAAAAGTTTTAAAAAAAATCTGAATACTGGTGGAAAGTGTTTGGCTATCGGTGCAAGAGGGTGAATGTAAGTGTCTATCTCAGGTTATGTTCCAACCACAACCTCAATGTGGACCCCTACACAGAAACCACACAAGAAAGAGGAGATGAACTGAGAGTCTGTGTACAACCTACTGGGGCTTCTGTTTGATACTTGTGGGGGGTATTAAAAAAGGCAAAGACGGAAGTCAAATTTCACAGCTCATGAACAGTGGGAGAGAAAAAATCTGTTTAGCTACACATTAGTTTTAAATAGCAGCCTACTGGTGGAATCAAACTGGAATGGTAAAAGTTTGCTTCTCTATGAGATAAATCTATGCTCTGACTGGACGAGCTTTTTTACTTGTGGTCAACCTTCATCTCACCTCACTGCATCCGTTCTTAACATGGACCTGTGACATGTAGGCCACATGACCCAGACTCTTCATGCCGTCTCCTTCCCATCCCCGCACCGGTTCGGACAAGATCTGCAGCTCAAGGTTTTTCCGCTTCCGCAGGTCCTGGCACTGAGTCTAAACAAACATCAGCCAGGGAAATGTGACAATGTTAAAGAGATATGCATTAAAAGAGCATCACTTCCTGGAGAAAAAACAAACAAAAACTCTTGTATTGAACATGTTGTTCCCCTGTCTTTTGGACCCATTGACTAATGAGCAACAGGGTTTTTTCTTTTTCCCTCTCTGTGGACATAACTTTCAGTACTATAATGTCACCTGTGGAATCTACTTCTTTATTTCCTTCTTTAAAAAGGTGTGTCAGGTAAGATGCATCAGAGAGCAGCACTTTTTCAGGTGTAACGGCGGGGCTCTCCCTCTTCAAACAGGAAAAATGACACTGCAACATGTATGATTTTCCAGTGCGTGTAAAAGGAGTTTCTATAGGTAGAATGCTGCAGAGCAATTCCCCAGTCTCTCCTCTCTCAACCACACATTAAAAGCATACAGAAAATGCAAATACCATTGGGTCGTGTTGTTATGCTTTTTTTTATCCCTGTTTCCTGTGAAGCTCGGTTGAGGAGATCAGTGACTCACTTAATTTGTTCATACATGAAACTCAGAGGCCTACAGGGGGAAAATAGTATCTCACAACAAGGTTCGCTGAGGTTCATATGCGGTTGCGCATTTTTGATTCAGCTCATTTATGATGGCATTTCAGCTCACACCTACGAAAGGAACAATGGCATCACTTAAAATAAACCAGTAAGAAGAAAAAGATCAACAAGGTCATTAAGATCTCCCTCTCTACTCTAGACAGCATTAAGAAATGCTGCTACCCATGTGCAGCCCTTCAGAAATTTTTAACCAAAACTAGAAATTTAGCCAAGAATAGATTTTGAAGGTTTTATAGTGTTTAGAAACACAAAATTAATCAGTGAAAAAATATATTTGGGAATTTATGATGCCTTTCCAATTCTAACACAAATACTGTGAATATCAATAATTGCCAGATAAAAGAAGCAGAAAATACAGCTGTTCAATCTAGCTTTTGAACAATGAGAACGCTGTGTCCTGGAATCAGGGCGTAACTGTATGGAAGGAATCCTGCTTTGTCACCTCTGCTTTATGTCACTGCTCCCATCCCAGATCTGGTTTTGTCCATCAAATAAAATAGAGAGGGAAGATGCAAATAAAGAAAACGTGAGATGTTTTAAAAGAAGCCTGATTGCTCAGACCTACCACTAGGCTCCTAAATGTTGCCTGTGCCTTTATGATGTCGGCGTAGTCTGGGTGAGCCTCCTGTGGTAGAGAAAGACAACACTGGATCAAACACAAAAACCTGAGTAGAAACCAGTCTGCAATTCAATGGTCTCTAAAACTGCACGTCATGTATTGTTTCCTCAAAACATAATAGAAAATGTATTTATTTTAGGAAACAGTGGGAGGAGGGATTCTTCAGAACAAAGCGACAAGGTATCTGACCAACATGTAGTCAAACTACAGAAAGAAAACTTTGATCCAGGAATTCTCATCGAGCACATAAACATGGAAAATCCTCAGCGCTGCAAAACAGACTGGCTGTGCACTCCAACTATTTTGTTTTAATATTTGTCCTCGTACTTATTCATGACCTGATGAGTTGGACTTAATGCCACATGAAAATAATATGATAGAAATTGATTTTTTGTGGCTACATGAGTGTTGTAGACACAAAGGAATTTGGATCATGATAATGATATCTATCTCAGCCATAAAAGACGATCCACTGCACACTATCATCAATGGGCCAACCAAGGGAAGTGTTTTATTTCCATACAATGTTACAAATTGGTGGTAACAATAACACATACATTCCTCCACAAATTTTGTTGATTTCTTTTTTACATTTTTCTCAACACAATACATTTAGACATGTTTGTGTAATTAGACTATACCTCCACATGTCTTTCCAGCTCCTGCATCAGAGTCGGGTACTTTTCAAGCCTCACAAAGGGCTTACTGAGGCTGGTAGTCAGGGTCAGGACTCCTGGAGAACTTGCTCCTTGGCTCTCCATGAACTTGTCTAACTCTTCACTGTAAAAGTAGAAACAAAAGTACCTCTTATGTCGAGTTATGGGTAAAAACTATAGAGTGTATAGGTCAAACATCAAGGTAGCTCAAACATGCAAACTTGCCAAAAATGTGAACCTGAAATCATACCCCGAGTGGTTTTTCTAAAGCAGTGAACATGTCACACATGAACAAGCTCCTGTAAAAACATCATCCCTCTCTTCCAACAGGACATGCTGCACAGTGGATAGCATAGCTCTGTCTTAAAGTCTGGCTGCCATCAAATTTAGCAAGATAATAGATTTTAATGACACACGATAATGTCTCACTTTAATCTGATTGGACCTCTTTAATCTACTTCCAATCATTTATTCACCCATTAAATACAATGCATTAAAAAGCAGCATCTATGATCATTTGGGCTATTAAATTAGATGGAATGAGGGATTTACAGTTCTGAAAGCGCCATCAAGTAAAGAATGATACATACAAGTATGGATTTCAGAGCAACAAATGCATTCAGATGTAAGACCACACGTATTATTGACGTCTCCTCAGAATGGAAACAAGAAACAAGACTCCATTTATCTGTTCATTTGTCATCACTGTGATGTGATGTCAGCAAGCTGTCAATGAAACTGTCAATAATAACATCTTATCAGATATATCAAATCAGGTCACCAGAATTGCGTGGTGCATTTTGTGTTGTGTGTGCATTTCGGTCTGTCTGCAGCATGGTTCCTTCACTGCACACACGCAAATCTATTTTGAAAGTAACACCACTCCTCAGTTTCCACAATCCAAAGCCTCAGCTGTGCATTGTTCTGTTGCAATGATAATAATGAGTAAATGAGGACGAGACATGAAAAGTTCCTTCAACTGAAATGCAAATGTGCTTACTGTGAAAAGCGCTGTTTGCCAGTCAAGACAACCACAGCTCTGTATATCCTGTAAGTCAGCTTCCTGTGTCTAATTCAACTAGTGTGAACAGTGTTTGGCAAGACTTCTCAATGTTACTCAAGACCGTCTCATTTGAACTGCACCATGGCCATTTCTCCCCTCCTTTTCTGTTATGCAATTGCACAGCTTGTAACAGCAAACCATGTCATAAAAAAATGAAACATTTTACAGTTACTGAGCTGAAGAGTTAGGGACTGTCAGCACACTGGCTCGCTAACAGTTTACCATTAAAATCAATTTTGGGATGGTAACAGACAGCCACCTTGTGGATTTAAACAAAAGTACAACTCCAAACAGAAATTAAGTAGTTCTGTACATCAAATCCGCTCTTTGTTTTGACCTCCTTAAGACATTCGGTTTGTCTAATTTAGATTAATTAAATCCACACAATAAAAGACAAGAGCTTCATATCAAACAAGTAAAGGGCAAGCAAAGGCAATTCATTTCTAATGATGTAACCTTAGACTCATGAAAAAGTGGCAAGTAAACAATGGATCACATTTTTATGCAGAGTTTTTATACTAAAACCTTTCTGTAGTTTTGTGAAGTGTAGGGGCTGACCTGTGATCGGTGAGGATGCACACAGCTGAAGGGTGGCTCGAGCAGTAAGTCAGGTAGAGATTCTTGATCTGACACATCAGGTTTAAATAGCAACCTGCCACCCGCTGCTGCCCCTCTGGGACCCTGCAATGTCCCAGAAAAGGTTTAAAGATTTAATAAGTAGAAAAGGAAAATTGATCAAACAGAAAATAAAATTTTTGAAAAATCCAACTTTAGATCCTAAAGTTTAAATAAATGAAAGTCAACCAATTCTTCCCAAAACACCCCCTTGTTTAAGAGTCAACTCAGCAGTGTAAAGATGGACCTAAGTTATGCATTTAATTAGATTTTTTTTTAAGTGATGTGTGTAAAGATAATTATACAAGGGTTATTTATTGAATTTATGTTGCTGCTTCTGCAAATAATAAATTATTTAGAGAGGATATGAGGAGAAGAGGAAGTGACTTTCAAAAATATGAACATATATGGTAAACTATTAATAAGACTATCACAAAGTGCAGTGAGCAGAATAGGAAATGCACTATGACACAAATTTAATAGTTAATGGTGTACAAAATTTAAACCTCAGAGGACAATTTCTTACTAAAGTTCAACATAACTTACTTTGTGCAGTCCTCCAAAGCCAAACAGAGTCCCTGCTGGAAGTTGAGGATCTCCTCCAGGTTTCCACACAGGGTGGTGCTGTCAGCAGCGCTCAGCCTGAAGAGAAGCAAGAATAGTGACTGTCCTACAACATGCACCACTATAGAGAGGAAGCTGTAATGTTAACATATGTGAAAGGATAAATTCACATTAAGCATGTTTAGAAATGTCAGGAAATCTCATGAAGATGGCTCTTACTTTTCACTGGCCTGCAGTGGTTGTAGGTAACAACTCAGGACTGTTTGTAACTCTTTGACAAACTCCTTTTCGTGATCTACAATATCCTGAACAACCTGCAAAAGCAGCAAACAAAACAAACAATCACCAGAGGTGGATAGTATTTCCTCTCAGGAAACTTTCGCAACAGGCACTAAAGGCGGTGTTAATACGGGCCAGTTTATAATTGACAAACACTTTTTCAATTAGACGGCTAGAGTGAGTTCTGTATTCGGTGAGTACTTAGTTAGTTAGTGCACAAAACTGATCATTTAATCACTTTCCACATGGAATTGGTTTTACTCGACTAAAGAAAGCCTAGTCAGTAAAAAAAGATTGAATTAAAACAACCGGTGAACTCAAACACATTGTTAAAATACACCATTTTTTTTTTTTTAAATCTGTCTTTTATTATTTTAAAATATATATATATTTTGACTCACCACATTGTAATAGTTCTTCGTCATCTGAGCTCCTTTAGGAGACGATGGTTTTTCTGAGGAGAAAAAAGCATTGGGCATGTTCAAAATGGGCGGACAACCGGTTAAGCAGAAGCTAACAGAGGCTCCTGGAGTTAACAGCTAGTTTTAAACTTAGTGGTTCATTCTGTGCCTGCTGTTTTCACAACAACAGATAAGCGTTGTTTTAAGCACGACTAAACATAAAAGGAGTCGCTTGTAAATCATCATTTGAGTTTGGCATGAAGCGAACATATTTTTTCATTTTCCACTCAACATTTGTCATCACAAATAAGACCACTGCTCAACTTGGGCAGCATTGAAGTCATGATCCAGGCAGCGCGGCCCAACTCACCGCACGGTTTGACCTCGCGGACGTAGTTACTCGGAAACCAGCCCGTCTTGCCGTTGAGCGTGCCCTCCCACCATCCTCCTTCTTCCTGCCGTGTCACGAGGATCATTTCGCCTTTATTGAACGACAGCTCGTCCTGGTTATTCTGCTTGAAGTTGAAGCGGGCCTTCACCATCAGCTGCCCGCCGGCCCCGTTCTCTGACATTTCCTGTTGCAGAGGTCAGCGGCACAAATATGAAAGTGTCAAAATCTGTCTTTCGGAGCCTAAGCGGCAGTGTTTCCAAGACAAGAAGGACACGCAGCAGGTGAGATGCAGTTGTTGGAAGTGAGTTTCTGTATCATCAGTCTTTGAGTTGTGTTAAAAAATACAACTGCAGCTGTGAAGAGCACGCCTACAGAACCAATTCCAGTGTCTGAGAACAGGTTAACAGTTCTCTGAATGTCGATGGTTGTGTTCATTACGTGGGAATGAGGAAAAGCTACGACAGTGTGGCTGTCCTTCCTCAAAACTGTGAAGTTAGTCCAGAAAGTAAAGGTGAGTCACAGCTATCAAAGAGTATAAACCCATGCTCACTTCTTTTTTGGCGCATTTAAAAGAAAAAAAATCCATGAATCACAATGTGAGTTATATTATGTATATTGTATATATAGTGTATCTATATTATGTTATAACATGCAGTTACATTTTATTCAGCAGATTTTCTATACACACATCAGAGCTCCAAACCAATAAAATCTTCCATAAAATGAAACTGATGTTGACAAAAGTACACTGAAAATGAGCTTGTTTTCATGTGTGGAAAATGGAAATATACCGCAGATTTGGATTGTCTACGCAGAGAGCCTTTGGATTTGGCCGAGGACAGTGAGGACGTCGCCTGACTAGGAGAGGAGGAACCGGACTGTGGACATCTCTCAGCAGCACAATCTGCGAACACAAGGAAATAAGGGTTTTCTCCCTCACATGATCTGACCTTAAACACGCACACACACATTGGGGACTGAATACTTGATGGTGATTTGTGAGCACAGACTGTTGCTCGGCTCAGCCCCAGGACACCGAACACACACACAAACATAAATTCCTCATGGAATACTCTGATTTCACCAAAGATCCAGACAAGTTTTAGCCCTTAGATGAGAATTTGAACTTATATCAGAGATCACTCATGCTGAAGCCACCTTGATTCCATAAATAAGTGTGCCTAACAGATATATTTTAAACACAAACTCCCCAGCTTCATGCTCATGAATTTCATTTCAGAGAATGAGATAAAAAAAGAGAGATTTACGACATCCAACCGCTCCCTGGAGCCATCACTCAGCCACTGCAGCAGAATCCCTGTAACAGGGGTTTGGTAGTGGCCAGCTGCCCCATGCTATGAATGCAGTTCTGCAGTGACAGAGGCATCCACAATGCTGCCAGAATTCATTTGAGAAATGACACATGGCAGCACCGCAAACCTCTTACATGCTAACAAATGGCAGCGCTCGCAGACGACGGCCTATCAAATGCCAGCTGGACGCTCGCCAGTGCGGCCGTCTAATCCTTCTTCAAATCACAGAGGGAGGAAGAATCAGAGTGTCATATTAGCCCTATTAACCTTAACTTCAGATCAAGTGAAGAATTCAGACGGGAGGATATGACGCTGGAATTCCTTTGAGCAGAATTTCAGTCACAGGCAGCAAAAACTGGATCGTTCTTTCTGATTTTTTAAGCAATTGGATCTGTGGTATGTCTTTAAAAGCATGAAGGCAGGCGAGTCACTGTTTTCCACACACAGAGATATCAGTATGCATCATAAAAAGAACACAGAGAAGTGACAGGTGAGATCCCACATGCTACACCCCATCTACAGCAAAGCCTTACAGGCCCTTCTGTTACCTCTGCTTTCTGGTAAACACTGTATGAATATCATATTTAAAGCATTTAACCTGAACAAATGTATATGCTGAGAACTTAAAGTATGACTAGGATGTAGAGGAGGGCTGCATATGACAAAGGCTTCATGCTCAATCCTAACAACAAAGTTAGGACGGATCCACCTGGAAGCAAGTTTAGGCACAAAGATGGATAAAGCAACTGCGGGACACAGCCAGCCTGTGAAAGACTCTCACATGAAATATCTGTCAGTACTGGAATAGGCTTTGGCTCCACGTCCAAAATTGTTGAATGTGGCACTGAGAGGTGAGAAAGTAATTCCAAAGAGCAGAGGAAAGACAGAACTCCAACCGGTCTCAACATGTTGAGCTGAAACTATTTCAACCATGAATGAATCATAAGTCAAGTACACACTTCCAAAATAAATCAGATTTTTTTGCCCCCTAATAGCATATCAATTTGGACATTTTTTTCTCCAACTTCTCTGAACTCTTTTCTCTGAACTATTTTCTCTGGACTCCACTACATAGTTTGTAGAGATGACTGTTGACTTTGGCAAATTGTCAATTTAACCACACTACTCTATTTCAACGCAAATCGATTAAGAAGGGTAAAAAATAATGAATAATGAAAGAAAGTAGCTTTAGTTCTAATACTACCCTCCAAAATAGCAGTGGTCCTATACTGACTTAAACACATATTCCCTACTTCCAGAGATGTGGTAAATTAGGCTAAAATACAACTCAATACATTTTTTTCAAATCTGGATCAGAGAGTACTTCATTGTTTACTCCAAAACAAGGAATCCTAAATAACTACTAAGCTGTTGTAATTTAAACCCTTTAATTTGATATTGTTGTTAAAGGAAAAATCTCAAGAGATGCAAATATATATGACCATACAGGCGTGTTAATAATTGATAAGGGGCTGGGGCTATAGATGTACACAGAATGCAGCAACACAGGACACCTCTCAGGATGAACATGAGTAAACACAGCATGACACAAACACACACTGCCATGCCAGCTGCCCATCTCTAACACAGCAAATCATCATTTCAGAAGGCTCTGCAAACCAAATAATGGATATTTATGACACGTACACAATAAAATGTACTTTATCTGTCATACACACTTATTCTACAAATGTTATATATATGTACACACATACGTTTATATATATATTAGATTTTCATAACCAGTGTCTCGTAACTTGTCCAAAATGTGATTAAAAAGATTTCATCAATGTTTTTTTTTACACGTGTTTTGTAAGTATAACAGAAACCAAAAGGAAACAGCTAATGTCTTACCTTGTGTGGCAAAGTTGACTGCCAGCAAAGTAGTTAGGACCTTGCCAAAATTCTCTCCAGTGTACAAGCACTCTGGTTCAAAACCCTGGATGGGAAAACAGACGGGAGGACGCAGTCAGACCAAAATGCCCCCGAACCAGCTGTTTGTTGAAGATGGAATCCACCAGGCGTTTAAGACGGGTAAATCAAAATGAGACTTTTTAAACGAAGCTCACTCGTGGCGTCTGCTGAGTGAACACCAACACAAACAGCCAGACTGACTCTAGCTTGTAACACAGACCATGGAAAGACTTAAGACACCCACACACAATTCAACACATTCACATGGCTTTGTAAAAGCCTCCAAAAAGACAGATATAAAATCTGACATGCAGAGTGTGACCCACATTTTGGGACTTAGTTCTCTGTAATAGAACACACAAGGCCAGACTAATTTGCAATTCACTGTCCACTTGTGCATGTATACGGCTTAGTCTCAAACAGCTATCTTCTTTCTTCCAGCAGATCATGTTTCTCATTTTAAATAAAACATCTTAAATATAGAGTTTGAATAGTGTAACGCCGGTCATGAGTTGTGACTGGACTCATCAAGTTATGAGTGACCGCAGCATAGACTTACTTTCATGCAGGTCAAAAAAAGAGGAGAAGAATACTGAGGTCCTGGGGAGTAATTTGTGCTTCCTCTTTCTTCATCGAAGAGCAGAAGTGAAAATAGTATGACTGCTTTCTTTGTGCGGTGACAGGACAAACAGGCATTATTGGATCCAGCAGAAAAGAAAGAGAAATATTCTCAAACCGTACACATCACTTAAAGGAGGGCAGGCCTAGCCTCAGTGCCACAGATGTCCTGTGGCTGATACATTTGACAGTGGCTCTAGGAAATTTTTTGCCAGTGACCTACTGGCTGGCTGCAAAAGCTCTAATTATGGGCCAACGCAAAGTTGGTGGATAAAAGCAAAGAGGACCTCCCAGACATAACAAGCCAGCTGGGCAGGTCCGCTAAACCACTGAAGTGAGTTGGGCTCAATTAGCTGTTTAAAGAAACCAGTTGCTGTCTCAAAACCGACGTTTATTTATATCAATGGAAGAGACATTAATGTCCAGTGTGGTGGTCACGAACAGGATGGTAAAAAAAAGGCAGAGAAACTCCCAACATCTGGACATGATTTTGCCTTAAACCAATAAAAGGGCTGTATTTTCATAATGTACAGGCCTGCAATGGATGTCAGGGATGTTTCTAACCAGTGCCAAAAACAAAAAAATAATCAGGTGATCTACATACTGTCTGTCATACTGAATGGGAATTTACAAGGAAGTGCCTGCTGAGATACTGCCATTTTAGCATACAAAATGCAGTAATAAGAGTCTCCTTCCTCTGTGGTCTGTGGAAGTGAGTGACAGCATGGCTGTTTATGTGGTTCACTCCACATGGACGTGCGAGAAAAGCCAACGTGATAAGCTGACCACAACACAAGCAAGAGTGTGATCAAATCTTCCCTGTGGGCTGCATCAGACAACAGGAGCCCAGTAAGCAGCTAAAGGTTAACAGATAAACACAGGTCAGCTCAAGTCCATAATGTTTTTGAACATAAAACTTGCCATTCAGGAGCAACTTACCTCCACTTTCAAGGTCGAGCATCCCCTTAAAAACTCTCTGATGTTGGCAATGCAGTCTGCCTCAGTTTTCGGATCCTGGCAATACTGAGCAAGAGAAATAAATATATAAACACAGACCTCGGCTTAGTATACCAAACGGACATCTGACACACTTATTAGCAGCTCCGGGCTCGCGCTGCCGCCTCTCCGGACCCACTTAACGGCTCATGAAGGGGCATAGCACTGGCACAGGGAGCGTAGCCCACAGTTTAAAGCATAACTGGATTTTCTATGCTTCTCCTTCATGCACTCCTAACCATTTACACCCCAGAAACGCCAAAAGAGCCATATTCAAGCAAAACATCCGCTCCCTTTGCCCACATTCAAAGTAAAAGCCACGCGCGCGAGGCAGCATTTATACGTTCACTGATGCATTACACTTAGGATTAGAAATATTTAACCATAACCAAAAATGTGTCCACTACGGAAGAACATGAGACTCAAATGCAAACTATTAAAAAAAATAAGAAAAGTTTTTTTTTTAACATAAATAAAACCGATTCTACTTCCGGTTAGCTTCGGTGTGTTTGTGTTCATCTCCACTTTTTCAAAGGGGAGGTCGCTTCGCGGAGAGCAGTCGCTCAAGAGGAAGTGACGACCTTAATTTGCAACTGTTATCACTAACAACTTTGTCGTCTCAAAAAAAATAGCAAGACTTGCCGTATATTTACGCCATTAAAAAGTCAAAAAACATTCAGCGAACTCTGTGCCAGATCTCGTCCTCACACCAAATGTTTCCTGCACTCGACTGGAAACAGTCCCGCTTTGTTGGTTGTTCACGCTGACCCTCTGGTATGAAGAATGCGGAACATTTTTTTTCACGCTTCACAGGAAACAACCTCTTAAAATCACTCGTTTGTCAAATGCATCTACGCGGATCTAATGAATCCGGCACAGACGTCTGTTAAAACTTGGCGGCCGGAGCATAAAAAAACGCGAGGCCGGCTGCACAGAGAAGTTCCTGACGGTATCACTTTCATCAAACCCCTCCCTTCTCTCCCCAACCGAGAGTAGCCGATCATATGTCAATTGTTTCCCCAAAGTAAAAATCAATATCTCACCTTTGGAGATAAACCGGGTATGAGCCGCTCCGTGAGTTTGCAGAGGACGACCCCATCCTTCAGGGATGTTTTCAGAAACTCCTCAGGGTCCGCTATGTTCTTTTTAGGAGAACTGAGTACTCCTAACGATATCAACCACGTTACCGTCTGCTCCTCGGGATTCATGGCTCCACGAAAAGATCATTGCCTAGGCACTCATTGCTTAAAGAAAACTGGCGGCCTGTTCCGTGTATCACTATGCAACTCACATCCGCACTTCTGCTTGAAGTAAAAAAAAAAAAAAAAAACGGGAGGGGGGGGGGGGGGGGGGGGGACGCTGTTACTACATGCAAAACTGATGATCACCCCTACTGGTAAATAGGCACCTCAACAATAGACCAATAGACCCATTTCATTTCCGCCTGGGATATAGTTTTACGTTATATTACACGTTTATCTGCAGAACCTTAAGACCATTCAACTGATCTCTGATGTTCATTAACGTGTTTAAAATGCTCCCACGAAAAAAGGGAACCTCTGTTGTACCCAGATGCATCTTTTGCAAAGAGCCTAGTATCCCGTGTGACTTTATTTTAAGCCACACAGCTGTAAAACTAACACCTCTCACAAACTAGTAATTATCATCCATGTTTAAAGGGAAATTTAACTCAATAGTGGAATACAGCTTTTACTAAGCCATGAGCAGATTATGTAAACATGCACCAAAATAAAAATCATAACAATATGTTCAATACCTCAGAGCAAACATGTGCTAAAATCTTCTTTAAATAGAACAAAACAGAGGCAACAAGACATCTTTCAAAGTCTTTATTGAAAACGACTGAATCGATCAGGTCCTCCGACTCCCGTTTTCTGACCTCCACTTCCACCCAAGTTGTTTCATTTGAAACGATACACCCGGCCGGTGTAAATGGCGGTCGCGTCCGCACCTGAGATGGGGAAAAGAGGTTTCAAAAGAATAATTTACATTACACTGAGATGGTGTGTGCAAAGACAATATTTTACTGTTTACATATCAAGGGGCCCTACAAAAAAAAAGAAAAAGCTCTGTAGCAGGATTCCTAATGCATTGTAAGATAGACGTGTTGGATTGTCTAAAATCAAAAATAAAGACGTCCCACCTTTAAAAAAAAAAATTGTCCAGGAATTGAAGGACTGACTAACCGGTGCACCGATGCACGGTAGTCAAAACGGTCCATGGAGCTGGACTTTAGTCAGGAACGCTGCAGTGAGTGAACTGTTGCCCTGGAGCGACGTTCATCCTGCAACAAAGACACAACATCAACACGTTGCTTGGAAAATAAATAAGTTGAAAATGTATAAAATATTGAAATGACAGCGTCGCCCTTAAGTCCGACTGCAAGTTGTCTTCATTGAGTGACTCCAGTTCAGTTGTGAGGTCGGCGGGGTTTCTCCAGCGGGCTCCAGTATTTGAATTGTCATGCTTGTGGAAAAGGTTTTGATACTGAGCAACTAGTTGTTCATATGTGGCGTTACATTGTCAAACCAGTGTTTTCTCTGTTTTGTTTTTAAAAAAATAAAAAGATATCATTATCTCTGGTGTTCAAATGCATTGTAGCCAATCATTTCGGGGAGGCTTGACGACTCGTCAGGAGAAAAATGGCTGCTCTGAGGACTCAAATTGTAAATTGGCTCATAAAACTGTGTTGGTCAAAAGAGAAGAAACTTCTTGAGTTGTTGGTGCACTTAAAACTCTAGCTGATGGAAAACGGACATTAAATAGTCAGCTGACCTCCATTTTGATTTGGTCCCTTGTGCCAAAAGCTGTTGTGAACAGCACCTTTTGAGCGGAGACTGCAATACAGGACAAAGTGAAACTCATTTACAGATGAGAAACAAAGAGGGTTGCTTTGCTTACCAGCAGTTGACTAGCAGTCGGCTTGGTTTGCTTGTTGCCTTTGGTTTTGTCGTTGCATGCCATCAAATGGCTCTAGGGTGATGGATCCGTTTCCAAGGAAACTACATCAGAACATTTTCACAGTAACATTTTTCCTATTCGTGCAAACAGTGGGGTCCAGTTGGAAGCAAATTTGCCTGAGAATGACCTGATGTCATTTCAACATAAAGCACGAACAGACTCACCTATAGATTAGAGAACTTTGTAAAGGAGACTTGTTATTTGACATTCGTCCCGTTGTTGGGTTTTTCTTCAAAATTGATGAGTAGTGGTCAAGATTCAACTAAAAGCTTTATTTGAGTAGGAAAGCCATTCTCATAGGGCATTGCAGAGTCCAACAGCACTGAATGTACAAAAACTAACACTTGGTAACCGCACTGACACGAGCAGAGGAAAAACTTAAAAAAAAAAAAAGTACACATAAAAAAACTGGAAATGTCAGAACACAAGTCAAAGCTAAGCTTTCTATTCCACAGAGTTAGACATGGCTAGTTTGTCTCCTCAGATTTCTTCCAAAACAGGTGTTAGGGGTGCACGGAGACAGATTTTTCCTTCATCAAGTCCAGTCTCAGTATCTGCTGCGAGCCATTCCCCTATCGACTCGGTTGCCTCCGCGGCCCCCGCGGGGCCCTCCACGGTTTGAGCCGCCGTACGAGTCACGGGGGGGGTAGCCTCTATCAGCAGGAGGGGCCGGGCCCCTTTCCTGTCTACCCATTCGCTCACCACGGCTAGGTGGATATGGGTCACTCCGACTGCTGGGGTAACTGTCACGACTGCCATAGCCATCCCTGGAGCTGCTTCCATAGTCATCATAACGACTGCTGCCACCGCTTCCACCATAGGATGGTGGGGGGCCTCGTGAAGGTGGGGCGCTGCGAGAGTTACCTGCAGGGTCAACGGTTGAGGTAATTGGAAAGGTTCAATTTATACATTTGATTGCACGTCAAGTGCTCACTGTTTGCCAATAGAATTCCCTCTGTGATCAGTTTAATAGATGGGATGATTAAGTCTCCCACCAATTTACGAGACTTAAGTTTAACAAGGACCTCTGGGTTGATAAGCGCAGCAACACATCCGAGCACAGGGAACATGTGGGCAGTGTTACTCATTACTGCATGCCATTCAGTAGCCTTTTTTTCTTTCCTTTTTGAGTTCCAAGTGTAGGGAAGAAGGTTTTGAGACTTGTCCTGCCGGTTTGTGAAGGTAACTCCTTGAGGGAGATTTTGCTAGGCAACATACTGGAAAACGAATACTTCCACGGATTTTTTGTGTGGGGGGCAGGGGGCTCCTTTTGGTTGCACACTTTGTGAGGCACATCAGTTATTTACGACCTATATTGGATTTTGTCAAAATTTCTCTGTGGATGTTGTAATAGAGTGATAAGATGACTTGGCTTTTGGACTTAATAGCATTTTCGGTTGAGATGCCAATGGTTACATATTCGAATCAAGTGAAAATGTCCACGGTGGAGTGCTGGTAAAGTTTCTTTGCGGGTGGCAGAAATCTTGTGTGAAAGCCAAAGCCATGATTTGGTTTTCTTTACTGTGGCTCTTTGCTGTGCGACGACGACTACCCCTCGTAGTTATCCTAACTGTACTTTTATCTTACCGTAACCATCATATGAATCCCGATAGGAGCCACCGCTTGGTCGGTCCATATAACCTCTTGGTTCCCGGCCACCTCCATAACCATCACGATCACTACAGAAGAGTACAGAATATTATCTGATCACAAGTTCAGATTGTGACAGCTTTCAGTTTCTGCTGACAAACCCAAACATACCTGTATCCTCTTGACATTGATCCATAGTCATCTCGAGACCCAGAACTGGAATATTCTCTGTATGAATAATCTCTGGGAGGAGGCCCATAGTCCCTTGAATCTCTAGAATTATAATCTCGACTGGAATAACTGAAAAACACAAATTAACAACCAATCAAATTGAGAGAAACTTTTAAAGCACATAGTTAACTAACAATTAAACAAACTCCTACAATGTATATTACTAATGTGGAAATTAAACCTCTTTCTAATAAACATTAGTTGGCTCCTAGAATCTAAACATGAACTTAAGTGGCACATTTAACACATAGGACACATAGTATTGTCCTTATCCATTTGTCAAACCTGCTAAATGAGGAAGGTCTCTACCTGTCTTTAGGGTTGTAATGGTCATCTCTTGGTGATGGATAATCGTCCCTCCTGGACATCATAGAGTCTCTGCGAGGTGGGGGAGGTCCATAGGGGTCCCTGTCCCTCGACATAGGGGCTAGAGTGGGAAATGACATACATTAGACACACGCAGCTGAGGAGCAGGGTTAAGCAATGACACCTGACAAAGCAAACCAGCAGGTCTCTTACTACATTCAACAAAGAGCACACACTTACGCCTGCTCATGGGTCCAGATGGGGCAGACCTCTTGGGTGGGGGGCCTCCATTACGCACTGGAGGACCCCGTTTCATTGGAGGTGGGCCTCTGGATGACATCCCTTTAAAGAATGGGTCGTCTCCTGCACTATCATAGTAGTCTGGACAGACAGATGCAAAAAGGTTTAAAATTAAATTCCAATACTAGCATTCTAACGATGCATATATATATATATATATATATCTATAAAATCTTTTCTATGAAAAACAAAAAGACTTGCCTCTGGATGGGGGGCCCCTCATGCCCCCAGGTCCGCCCCTGGAGCCACGAGGACCTCTGGGTGGGCCACGGGTGCGAGAGTGCATCGGTGGAGGCCCTCGCCTTCCAGCACTCTCAAACTGAGGCTTTGTGGCTTGTTCTACTTTAATTGGCTTGCCATCAAGAGACTGGTGAAAGAGTTTCAACAATGTCAACCATGTTAAATAGATCATTTACTAAAGAAGGCATTTTCAAATGGAGACAGGGCCTAACCTTTCCGTTCATCTCGTGAGCTGCATCTTTAGCATCTGCTGGGCTTTCAAAGGTTACAAATGCAAAGCCTCTTGATTTGTTTGTTTCACGGTCCTTCATCAAAAGCACTGAAATAGTTAAAGACAAGATAAGAACAGAGTTTCTGACAAACTTTGAACATATATTGACGAAGGACGACAAGACTAACACCCTGCGTCTTTTGTAAATGAATACAAAAGCAATTAAGATGTTCAACACTTAAAACTAGTTAATTTATGCTCAGGCACGATGTGGCCCCTCCACAAAGAAAATACTTCATATTTCCACTCATAAGTTTGGACTTCGGTCCAGTCAAACAGTCCATGTTAATAAAAGGTAAAGTTCAATGATACCTTTCCGCAGTGAAGTATAAACGGAAGGCCAAACGTTAGCTTTAGAAAGAATTACACAAGCTATGTTACGGTCAATAAGGCTGGTCAACCAGATCACCGTGGCAGAAACGTGAGGTCTAACTCACGTGAAATTATATAATAGATATATAACGATTTGGAATATATGCACGCACATATATATATATACACACACATGCTGCATTTAAAAAATGGAAAATATTCATGTCCTACCCTCGACAATTCTGCCATATTTGCTGAAGTACTGCTCCAAGGCCTTCTCGGTTGTTTCTGTGTTCAAACCACCGATGAAGAGCTTCCCCGGTCGGTCTGCTTCAGCCATGCTGCAAAACGCCCCGCCTGCAAAAGCGAGTGGCCGTTAAATAAATCACACACGACAAAATATATCAATAATATGTTGTTTTTATCCTTATTCTGTATCATTTGTTCAATTACTGTACCCCGCTGCTGGCAGAAGTCCTGATCTTTTGAATTCACAAAATGGCGATAAACGCGCCAGCGGTTTCAGTCAAATAGTCAGCGAGCAAGTGTGAGCTAGCAGATGTTCTGCACGCCGAATCAAAACTGCATCAAACAAGCCCAGACTAACCTTCTGAAAACGCAAAAATGAATTTAATGCTGCTTTACGTGAAAGACGCAGGCTCACGGCTAACTGCTACACTACCGACTCGCATGTGTTGCTCATTAATGAAAGCTGCGACCAAGATGAACAACAGTGGACCTTCTTCTTCTTCTTCTTCTTCTTCTTCTTCGTTGGCGGAATTTAAAGTACGCTGAGGAATGGCGCTTCTAACTGGTCATTGAAGGTATTACAATAAGCCTTCACGGCGCAGCAAGCAAAGGTACAAATGGTCTATTTCTATTTCATAATTCTTATCAATAATAATTCACACTTCCACAACTAATAATTTCATGTAATTTTGCCATTTCGAATTTATGTATAACGTTTTGTCGAGGAAAAGCATAGAAACAGACACAAGATTTGAAAACAAAAACTGGAATTCAATAATATATCTGTTGGTTTTAGCGCTCCCTATTGGTCGGCATGTCTTTAACGATTTGTGGTTTTTAATCTGAAATGGGGGCACTTTCTGCTCCAGGAGCAGAAGTCTCTAGCTCCCCATGGATTTTAAAGTCTAACATTTGAAAGAAAGAAATAATGCAAATATGGCTCAGGATGTCGGGAACCTGCTTGAAATCATATAATAAAGGTGCTGGGTTCAGAAATCAGTGAGTCTCAATCATGCACAAGTTGGTCCAAAATCATGAATGTGATACATTTTACAGGTCAACTCTCGCATGGAGAAAAGCATTAGGGTAGCTCAAGTGTCTCATGGAATCTGGTTTTAACTTCTGCCAAGTGTGAGTGCCTGGAAAGAAAGTATAGTTCCTACTGTGTTGAGTATGGGAGGGGGCTTTGTTTGACAGAAATGGGTCATTTCATATTATCTCCAGCAGGGGGCTGTGCCCCTGGAACTCTGCAACTGAAAAAATACTTCTCCATATAGATGAATTTGTCACTTTATTTCATCATTACAATATATGATACGATATAAATAAATAGATAAGTAAGTAAGTAAGTAAGTAAGTAAGTAAGTAAGTAAGTAAGTAA